AGGGCAGAGAAGATGAAGGGCAAAGAGGTCGGGACTCGAACCTGGGACCCTTCAAGTCTGCAGGCCGAGGAGGAAGAGCTACCTCAACGGTCATGCACTAGGGGGCGTGCAGGAGGCGGCCGATGCATGATTCTCTCTCATCATGGATGTTTCTCTTTCTCTGTTTCTCTCTCTCCCTTTCTTTGTCTGAAATCAATAAAAATGCTAGAGGCCCGGTGCACAAAATTCATGCATGAGGGTGGGGGGGCGTCCCTCAGCCCGGCCTGCACCATCTGAATTCTGGGACCCCTGGGGGGATGTCCAACTGCTGGCAGTCGGACATCCCTCTCCCAATCGGGGACCGCTGGCTCCTAACTGCTCTCCCCTGCCGGCCTGATCGCCCCTAACTGCTCCCTCCTGCCGGCCTGATCGCCCCTAACTGCCCTCCCCTGCTGGCCTGATCGCCCCTAACTGCTCTCCCCTGCTGGCCTGATCGCCCCTAACTGCTCTCCCCTGCTGGCCTGATCGCCCCTAACTGCTCTCCCCTGCTGGCCTGATCGCCCCTAACTGCTCTCCCCTGCTGGCCTGATCGCCCCTAACTGCTCTCCCCTGCTGGCCTGATCGCCCCTAACTGCTCTCCCCTGCTGGCCTGATCGCCCCTAACTGCTCTCCCCTGCTGGCCTGATCGCCCCTAACTGCTCTCCCCTGCTGGCCTGATCGCCCCTAACTGCTCTCCCCTGCTGGCCTGATCGCACCTAACTGCCCTCCCCTGCCGGCCTGATCACCCCTAACCGCCTCTGCCTCGGCCCCCGCCACCGTGGCTTTGCCTGGAAGGACACCCGGAAGACGTCCGGTCTAATCAGCATATTACCCTGTTACTGGTATCGATATTTAAAAGAAAGTAGCAGCCCGTTTTCCCGCGACGTGTCAGCGAGTGTGGATTTTCTGTAACAGAAACAACAGATGGCAACAGATGGGATGAAGGCGTCGACAGGAATCCTGCCGTCTTTTCTGAAAACACGCATTTGCAAAACCGTAAAGCGGTGCCATTTCTGTCCCTGAATTTTGGTGCTGAAATAAAAATATATATATATGTGTGTGTTTTCTTATGCCCTGGCCAGGATGGCTCAGTGGTTACAGCGTCGGCCGCATATTGGAGGGTTGTGGGTTCGATGACTGCTCAAGGCCATGTACCTGGGTTGCAGGTTCGATTCCCTGCCCCAGGTGGGTGTGTGGGGAAAGCAACCAACCCATGTGTGTCTCTTACATCAATCTCTCTCTCTCTCTCTCTCTCCCCTTCCCTTCCACTCTCTCTAAAATTCGATGGAGCCCGCATATTAATTTTTATTAAAATGTCCTATTATTTTATGTTCACGACGACTCATTTATCTTAGCATTTGCCTTCAGCCGGTCTCTATCGGAATAAAACTACGTTTCACCAGGAGGTCCTGGGTTCGATTCCCGGTCAAGGGCACCTGCCCGGGTCGTGGGCTCGGTCCCCAGTGGGGGGCGTGCGGGAGGCGGCCGATCCTTGATTCTCTCTCATCACGGATGTTTCTCTCCCTCTCGCTTCCTCTCTGAAATCAATAAAAAAATATATTTTAAAGAAAAAGCAAAAAGAAATGAGAAGATTCTTGTTTGACGTCTGCATTCAATCTGCCACCATCTGTTGTTTTTTCTGAAGAAAATCCAACCTCAAAGAGACACGTCGCTGGGCAAACAGAACCATGTTTTCATGGGATATTTTTTTTAGATGTTGGCGGATTTTCGGTGACACTGTCCCCCCAACACAGCGAGCAGTCACTTCCCAGCGTCTCCATAGTACCACGGCCTGTGCATCATGATCGCTGAAGTTTTCTTATTCTATTAAAATGAAAACCAGCCCTGGCCGGTGTGGCTCAGTGGATAGAGCCTCGGCCTGCAGACGGAAGGGTCCCGGGTTCGATTCCGGTCAAGGCATGTACCTGGGGTTGCGGGCGCATCCCCAGTGGGGGGCGTGCAGGAGGCAGCTGATCGATGCTTCTCTCTCATCGATGTTTCTAACTCTCTATCCCTCTCCCTTCCTCTCTGTAAAAAAAAATCAATAAAATATATTAAAAATATATATATATTGGGGTGAATCAAGATACCCCAAGGTTCTCTCCCTGCATTCTGAACTATTTCTCTTTTTTTTAAAAATAATATTTTTTATTGATTTCAGAGAGGAATAGAGAGAGAAACATCCATGAGGAGAGAGAATCATGCATCGCCTGCCTCCCGCCGCCCCCTACTGGTTGGGGATGGAGCCCGCAACCCGGGCAGGTGCCCTTGACCGGGACTCGAACCCGTGACCTCCTGGTTCCTGGGTCGACGCCCAACCACTGAGCCACACCGGCCGGGCCTGGATGATCTTTCTGTCCGATTTCTCCACCCTCTGCTCCACTTTGCAGAGCGAGGGTTTGTGCTGAGTCAACCCTGGCCCCCGGGAAAGGCTGAGTCGGAGATTTTGGAGAAGATGCTGGTGACCTATTTCTGGTCTCAATGCGGCCACTTCAGACCCTCCCTGGGCTTGGGCACCCCATTGGGGAACCAGCAGAAGGAGAGTCAGGGAAGGTCAGACAGGAAGGGAGAGAGAGAGAGAGAGAGAGAGAGAGAGAGAGAAACATCCATGATGAGAGAGAATCATGGACCGGCCGCCTCCTGGGCGCCCCCTACTGGCGATCGAGCCCGCAACCCGGGCAGGTGCCCTTGGCGGGAATTGAACTCGGGACCCTTCAGTCCGCAGGCCGACGCTCTACCCACTGAGCCACACCGGCCAGGGCTGTTTTTTTTTTGTTTTGTTTTGTTTTAAATTGATCGTAACGTATGTGAATGTCAAATGGCTCCATTGTACGCCTGAGACTCACAGAAAAATTGTGTAGCAACTATAACGAAATAAAAATTAACGTGCATTGTTTTTTAAATAGAGAGAAAGGGGAGAGAGAGAAGCATCTATGAGGAGAGAGAATCTTGGGCCGGCCGCCTCCTGCACGCCCCCTACTGGGGACCGAGCCCGCAACCCGGGCCTGTGCCCTTGACCGGGAATCGAACCCTGACCTCCTGGTTGATAGGTCGATGCTCAACCACTGAGCCACACCAGCCAGGCAGCCTTTGAATTTTTTTTTGTGGGTTTTGCTTTGTATTTTACTTTCTGATTCTTTGATAAATTAGCAAGACCATTGGCTCCAAATGTAAGAGAATAAAGCACCCTGGCAAGAACTAAGAAAAAAAAATATCAGCCCGTCCCCGTCCCCAGAAAGCAAAAGCCGCCAAAGACAAGTCCCCAAATTTCATCCATCGCTTCCTGCAGCCAAACCTGAACCTCAACAGACACAACGGAAGCCCCCAAGTCATTTAAACAACACCTTCTAGAACATTCTTCAACTGCCTTCTAGAACATTCTTCAACCGCCTTCTAGAACATTCTCCAACCGCCTTCTAGAAGAGTCTTCAACCGCCTTCTAGAACAGTCTTCAACCGCCTTCTAGAACGTTCTCCAACCGCCTCCTAGAACATTCTCCAACCTATATATGCCATATATAGGTCGTCTCCTCTAAAATCAATAAAATTGATTTTAATTTATCAATTAAATTAGAACATTCTCCAACCACCTTCTAGAACATTCTCCAATCGCCTTCTAGAACATTCTCCAACCGCCTTCTAGAACATTCTCCAACCGCCTTCTAGAACATTCTCCAACCGCCTTCTAGAACATTCTCCAACCGCCTTCTAGAACATTCTCCAACCGCCTTCTAGAACATTCTCCAACCGCCTTCTAGAACATTCTCCAACCGCCTTCTAGAACATTCTCCAACCGCCTTCTAGAACATTCTCCAACCGCCTTCTAGAACATTCTCCAACCGCCTTCTAGAACATTCTCCAACCGCCTTCTAGAACATTCTCCAACCGCCTTCTAGAACATTCTCCAACCGCCTTCTAGAACATTCTCCAACCGCCTTCTAGAACATTCTCCAACCGCCTTCTAGAACATTCTCCAACCGCCTTCTAGAACATTCTCCAACCGCCTTCTAGAACATTCTCCAACCGCCTTCTAGAACATTCTCCAACCGCCTTCTAGAACATTCTCCAACCGCCTTCTAGAACATTCTCCAACCGCCTTCTAGAACATTCTCCAACCGCCTTCTAGAACATTCTCCAACCGCCTTCTAGAACATTCTCCAACCGCCTTCTAGAACATTCTCCAACCGCCTTCTAGAACGTTCTCCAACCTATATATGCCATATATAGGTTGTCTCCTCTAAAATCAATAAAATTGATTTTAATTGATCAATTTTAATCAATTTTATTGATTAATTTTTTTAAATTGAAGGCCTCTCATCGTGTTGCATTCACTTCCCTCACGCCCCTTACGCGCAGGCGCACCATCTCTCCCCACTGATACCGACAGCGAATGTTCTAGCAGCCGATGGCCGCGCCCTTCATCTCGGACTGATTTGCATGGTGTGCGCAACAGGAAATATCTCGCTTTCGGAGAAGGAGAAAAACAGGTTTATCTGCCTGACGCCTATTCATTGATGCTGTTATTCGGCGTCTGGTTAGTTCACGTTCAAGAAAAATATATTAATTTTTATTAAAATGTCCTATTATTTTATGTTCACGACGACTCATTTATCTTAGCATTTGCCTTCAGCCGGTCTCTATCGGAATAAAACTACGTTTCCGTGAAAATAGAAGCTTTCGTTTTTTACGCGTCAACCTGGTTTATCTGGCCCGTGTTCGCCTTTGAGTTTGACGCCCTTGGGCCACTTAAAACTATTTAAACAGCCACAGATGTGCCCAAAAAAAAACCTTCGATCCCTTCCTGGGTAGGTGTGCAAGCGAGGGCGGGTGAATTATTCTTAAAACGATCTTATCTTGTGTGTGTCGTTTTTCATTCATTTAGAGTTTTTAAAAATTTCGTGCGAAAAAAAAAAAAATATCCCCCATAGAATAGCGCGCGACGGAGACACAGCGCCCCCTACAGGCCACGCCCACCGGCCCTACCTTCCTGGTTCCCCGTCTCCTCTCTGATCCTCCTCGCGACCTGGTGGCCTTTCGCGGCGTCGTTCCCGGCTGACGGGAGAAGAGAAAGA